TTCCCAGATCTGCAGCGACATCGCCAATGACGGAGCCTTTCACCATCTCCTCCGGAATAGAATATCGCATTTGTCCAAGAGCGAAATGCCAAATGGAAAAGAATATCGTCCAGAGTCGTATTTGCCAGTAAAAACTGCAGGATATCTTTTTAAAAGCCATTTCTTCCGTCTCAGTTTTGTGCATCAAAATCAGACGGAAATACTAACATAGACAACAATCCCACGAAGTCAGCGCTTCGAGATCAAACCAATAATCATTCCGAAGTTACAATGTCTTTCTTGTACAAAAATATATTCCCCAGCAGAGACCCACAATATCAGATCAATTCCCAGAAATTTCATCAACACTAATCCGGCCAATGCCCCCAGTAGATCACACTATGCGTCTGGCTCTGTGTATGACACACTGCTAAAAAGGAGGCGCTACTCAAATTCAACTCGTCGCAGCTCGCCTCCTTAGCCAACAGCGGCCCTTACAGACCTGTGTGGGAAACGCTGCGGCGAGCTCTCTGAAACATCATTGTCTATACCAGGAGTCGGCGACATGCAGCTCGCGAGCCACGTGCGGATCTTTGACCACGTGACCGCGGCTCTTCTCAGAACGATAGCCGCATTCACATTTTTATGTAAACATAATTATGATAAAACTTTTGTAAAGAAATTATTTATTTGTGGGTTAATATTATTTTTCATTTAGATATTTCTTTAGCTATATGTGAATGAGGCAGTCCGCTTCTGTTACGTCTTAACTGCATAATTTACATCTTCTTCAAAGGTATGCTTTCCGGAGTTTTCTTAAGCGCCTGAATTTGGATGTAGGCTACGCTTCAGCATTTATTGGGATTCCCAATTCTTTCATATACTTTTTGTAGTAAATCGTCACCACGCCTTCCCAGGACAGAAAAATATTATATTTCCTCCGATTTACATATTAGAGCCAGCCGAGTTGTGACTACTTCTGCACTGCTCGTCAGCAGAGCAATAGTGAAGAGGAGAGTGAAGGGCTGACGACTGCAGAGCCGAACGAAAGAAATTATGAGAGTGAAGACTTATCGCTATAGAACTAAACAATGATGTAATATTAGTCACCTTTGCGCTGTTACGCGTCCGAGTGATTTAAAACTGAGATGCCCCCCCGAAATTGGTTCTTTATATTTTTGTACGTACTTGAACTTTTGTTTTTGTGTTAAATGCATATGTGCATGTATATATATATATATATATATATACACACACACACACACACACATACAGGAAAGATATAAGGCAAATACCATTGCAATGTATGTGGTGTGATACAAACCAAATTTTCAGCCATATCGTATATCCATTACACTGGGAATTAATAATGCAGATATCACTTTATGTATATTAAATATTTAACAATTCATTCAAGCTAAACGTATACCTTAGACAGAAATTAGAAAGAAGGTCCACAGACGAAAGAAAACAACAACAATAATACTAGTACTACTAAAAATATTAATCTATTTTATTAGAGGTAGTTAACTTACCAGATCTGCCTCATCCATAATGCTTTTCTCATTCCCCGCACGTGCCATTATTTCCGCAGAAGTGGAATCCACCATTAAAACGCTCTGACTGCTCGGTCTGACAAACTTACAGTCACTCTTCCTGGAGTCAGTCGTCATATACACCTCGTAGTTCTGCATATGCTGTAAAGTCCCTGTACCTCCGGCGTCTGAGTAAAGTGTTGGATAATACGGTATAACTGGCAGATTGGACTGATAAAAGATGCGTGATTGTCTCCATCTATAGATTTTTACAGATATAATTACTACTAAAGACAAAATAAAGAGGAAGGAAACTACAGCCAGAGCCAGAACTAAATAAAAAGTCAGGTTGTCATTGTAATCCTTGTCGTGAGTATTGTCACTGAATTCCGAGAGTACTTCAGGGAAGCTGTCCGCCACCATCACATTAATGTTGACTGTAGCTGAGCGAGACGGTTGTCCGTTGTCCTCCACAATAACAGTAAGCCTTTGTTTCATGGTGTCTTTATCACTAACTGGGCGTATAGTTCTGATTTCCCCGTTTTGTGAGCCCACTTCAAACAGCGCCCTGTCTGTCGATTTCTGCAGTTTATATGAGAGCCAGGCATTCTGTCCAGAGTCCACATCGACGGCCACCACTTTAGTGACAAGATAGCCAACGTCAGCTGAACGAGGCACCATCTCAGCCACCAAAGAGCTACCAGTCTGTACTGGGTAGAGGATCTGTGGTGCGTTGTCGTTCTGGTCCTGGATGATAATGCGGACTGTAGCATTTCCACTTAATGGAGGTGAGTCAGCATCCTGAGCTCTGACTTTAACTTGAAATTCTCTAAGTTTCTCATAATCGAAAGAATGCACGGC